ACACACACACACACACACACACACACACACACATACACACACAAACACACCAGCAATCAAGAAATAATGGAAAAAAAAACTTTTTTTAATTGTGTTTCTTTTGATTCTAATACTTATTTTTTTCGTTGTTATTTTTTTAAAATAACAAAAAACATCTAAATCCAAAAACAAAAATATTGGGATGTAAGGAATTTCAAACCCTACCATTTTTTTTTTAAATCGTTGGGTTTTGGGGCCGCGGTTGGCCGCTGCTGGTGCCTGCAGCGGTCGGGATCCTGACCACGTGCTTTAATTGCCCACGGTCGTGACTGCGGGTGATACATAGGGGAGGAGTCTAGCGTCGAAGGACATGGCGAGGGAGGTAGTGAGCAAAGGGATTGATGGTGGGATGAGGAGGGAGGGTTGGAGTAAGTAGAGTTGGGATAGGGAGAGGGAGGGGAAAAAAGGGGGCCTCTCACTTACCCTTGGAATGCAGACTGCTTCATAGTTATCTCGTGTTTGAATTCCTCATTTGGTCACTGTACTAACTAATCATCAATCTGACTACTAATCTCATTATCTCATTACCACCCTAACTAGCTTCTCTAACTAATATCTTAACTAAAGTCTCCATACATTCTTGTAATTTCTTGATCTTCATTATTTCATAACCTGAAATCTTTCGTCTAACTAACATAAATGATATTTTTATATACCTAAATTGTCTGTGATACATTTCACGATTATTTGATTATTAAATTCCTTCTCTATCTGTCAGTCTTTTTCATAAAAGTTTTCTCCTATTGATTTTTTCGCTAAAAAGTTAAAAGTATTAAAATTGTGGCAATTTTTTGGTGTTCATTCTTTGTATTAAAATCATAACTATCCAATTATTTTGTAGAAACCTGGTTTTCTAAATTTATCCAACATAAATTTTTTTGGTCGAATGCTTGTTCCCGGTATCTATATTCTCCTCTCTGAGCATCCGATTCGATGTTTTTTCCTGATGGATAGAAGGTGTTGTGAACAGGGGAGAGCTCCACTCTGTAGGACCGCCCCAAGGTGGGAGTGAAGCCCTGGAGGGTGTGCGAGCAGATTTAGCGGGTTGTTCTATTCTGGGGTTGGGGTGGGGGTACACAACACAACTGTGTATAACCCGTGGTTATGATTGGGGGCCCGATTACCGTATGAGGTCGAGATTATGGCCACGGGGGGCAGCCGCGGGAGCCGAGTGCGGCCGTAAAGCCCCGATACTTTTAATTCCTAGAATTATAACCAGAGAAAATAAATAAAAACATGGGGTTGTAGGTTTAGAAAAACCCTACCTCCATATATATATATATATATATATATATWTTTTTTTTTTGTGTAATTTAAAGAAAAATAGAAAACGAAAATCAAAAGAAACATAATACAAAAAAGGAAACTTTTTGTTTTTCATTTTTTTTTCCGATTGCTGGTGGGATATTCATGGTGCACATGATTCTTTGATGCTCTTTTGTTCCCTACATATGCAAATATAAAACGAAAAAAAAAAAGATATCATAAAAAAAAAAACAAAGTCGTTTTCTTTTCTTTTTTCTTTGTTTTTTTTGTTTTTGATTGACAAACAAACTTATTGAGTGACTGTTTGACTGATTGATTGATTGATTGATTGATTAAAAGTAATTGGTTGGTATATTGATTGATTGATTGATTGATTGATTGATTGATTGATTGATTGATTAAAAGTGATTGGTTGGTATATTGATTGATTGATTGATTGTTGATTAATTAATTGATTGATTGATTGATTGATTGATTGATTGATTGATTGATTGATTGATTGATCAATTGATTAGAAAAAGAAAAAAATGGACTCCCTAGTGTGTGTGTGTGTGTGTGTGTCTCCGTGCGCGGGTGTGTGTCAGTGTGTGTGTGTGTGTGTGTGTGTGTGTGTGTCTGTGTGTGTGTATGGGCGCACGCACGTGTCTGTGCATGCATGTGTGTGTGTATGTGTGTGTGTGTGTGTGTGTGTGAATGCGTCTTTGTGCTCGTGTGCGCGTGTGCGTGTGTGTACTGTGTGTCCATTCAACGGGCAACAAAAAAGTTTCAACGTCGTTGTACCCGTTGAATAGCCCCCGGGCTATGTTCCCCCCTGGCCACGGCCGAGTTCGGTCATGACCACAACCGCCGGCCGTGACCGGGACCGGGACCCCCCCGGTCATTACCGCTCCGGTCATGAACTTCCGGCCACGGCCGTGGCCGGTCGGGGAGGGGGTTTCGAGAGCGGGGAGGGGGTTTCGGGTGGGGGGGGGCGGGGCACCCCCTCGAAGTGGCAGACCGACAAAAAAATAAAAAACGGGGGGGTCCTAAACATGGTCTGGCAGGGTGGGCCAGGAAAATTAATGCGTCCCCCGAACTGTGGTTCGTCGACGAAGGTGCATAGGGGAGGGGTTCGGCAACACATGAAAAATATATATATATATATATATATATATATATATATATATATATATATGCGGCCCCTGCGGGGCTCTGTGGGCGACCGGCGGGCGGCGGCGCGGCGACGTGGGAACCGCAAAAATATATATATATATATATATTCTCTCTCTCTCTCTCTCACACACACACACA